GTATTTCTCTTGGCTGCACCGCTTCCAGTACGTGTATGTGGATGTTAGATTTTTTGTCCAATCAGATTTCAGCCTCTATGTGTTGCCATGTCAATCTAATCTGCCCAGGGCCTTCAGAATCAGAAGTGCTGGCCCATGTAACTTAAACTATATTAGCAATGGGACTGTTTCTTTAACCAATCAGATTTCAAATTCGCCTCACAGGGCCAGCTAGCTGGCCCACAATGATGTCAGCATTTTTCCATCCTCTGATTGGTTAGTCAGAGCAAAACTAGAAAAGAACTTACTAATGGAACTGAAACGCAGAGATCACCTCCATGAGGATGGACTTTGTCTATAAATATATAGCATCTCTGGTGAGTATGATATATTTAATTTAAATTTTGTATGTTTTTGTCATGTTATTAGATAAATATTGAGTCTGAACTGCTCCAGATGATGTTGTAGTGTAGAGGTTTGGAGTTGTCTTAACTGGGTTTCTTGCTTTAGTAAAAATGATATTCACCCTCAATACGCGAAATAACTCTCTCTATAATCCCACGCTAATTATAATGCGTTTTATATAGTATTAATGGTTTCTATAATTACGACGTGATAGTGGTGGTATTAAGAGGTGAATTAAGTCGGGTAAGTCCCGACCGAAGGCCCAGCTACGAAATGTATGGCCCGCCACTGCTGAAAACCTGTTTCTAGCTATAACAGACACATGAACACACTGCTCAGAGAAGGATATGGGCTGTTGCTGGAGTCATCTGTGACATTCTTGATGCTCTGTTGGACCCAAACTCTCTGCTGGTCCAGCTCGTTTTCCCGGAGAGCCAGGTCTTCCAGCTCAGCCTTCAGATCAATCAGTTTATCAGCTATCTCCCTAGTGTTACAGCCTGGGCCTACACCCCTGAAACACAGACAAATACACGGTCATGTACAGATAGCAGGCAAAGTCAAATTCACACACTGATGGGCACTCATGGTGTTTTTCATTAACGCCCTGCTTTATTCATTCTCCTTCACTTTTCTTTAGCCTACTGATCCACCTGCCTTGTATCAAAGCTTGAGCTCAAAAGACACAGCTGCATTTCTGGGAAATAAGGCAAAAACCATTGCTTGTGACTGACATAATATTTGCTTTAAGATTATGTGTTAAGTAGGTCACTAATTAGGTCCAGAGTTTCTTCAAGAGCACAAAAAACACCACCACCACCACACTGTACTAACCAGGGGTGTGACAATACACTAGTGTTGCAGCGGTATATCGGATTCATGGTATACTATAGTATGAAAAATGATGGTTATTGTACCATGCACATTTGCTTATCACTGGTATTGAAAGAAGAAAAAAAAACTCAATGCGCATGCACCTTTCTTCCCCAACTGCCTCTCAGACTCTGCAACAGGCACCACATGGACAAACTCCATCCATCAAAACAGAAATTAAAATTTGCCGTGTGGAATATCTCAAAAACGAGCTCCTTCGGGAACAACACTACCCCTCAGTGCATATCAAAGTACACTATATTGCCGAAAGTATTCACTCACCCATCCAAATCATTAAATTCAGGTGTTCCAACCACTTCCATGGTTACAGGTGTATATAATGAAGCACCTAGGAATGCAGACCACTTCTACAAACATTTGTGAATGAATGGGTCGCTCTCAGGAGCTCAGTGATCTCCAGCGTGGTACTGTGGATAGGATGCCACCTGTGCAATAAGTCCAGTCGTGAAATTCCCTCGCTACTAAATATTCCACAGTCAACTGTTAGTGGTATTATAACAAAGTGGA